GCAACCGAGAATGCATGCCGCACAGAGCGCGCAGCAAGAGAAGACAACACCCCCAAGCTGAAAATCACCCAAGACATGAAGAATGCAGTAGTGTCAGTGTAAAGATGCACCCACACAGATCCCACTTAGGGAAAAGGATGCAGCGACGAACCCATCGTTAAACTACTCCAATAGCACCATCAAACATATGAATATTTCCAAGATCGCACACATGCCCCCGCTGTCTGCAACCGCAAAGACAGTATAAAACCATCCGCCACTCGGATCGCCAAGGAAAACGACGAGACCATCTGAAGGAAAAAGAGAGCCAATGTTGACCCACATAGATTCATCGCAGCTGAAGCTCATTCACGCAGCGTGCTCTACATCGCTTCGTGGCAGTAGTACTTAGCCATGCGCCATTACCACAGTGCCAGAAGTGAACCGCTGCAATCGGCTGCGCAGGCGATTCAGTTCCCTGAGGGGCGCCGAAACTTCCAACATGCAACACAAGGACAAACTTCGTAACTGCAACCCTACGCCTGTGAGTCCGCCAAGGGCCGCCTGTCTCACAGGTCACCGAAAGCATGCCGCACAGACCGCACAGCAAGACTGAGACAGAAGATCCCAGCCAATATCACGATCATAAGAGAAACGGCTCCCGAATATAAATCACAAAGGAAATTAAGCATCCAGCAACGCCAGTGTCAAGAAGTCCCACATAGATCATTTTTAGGGAATAGGATGCAGCAACGGACCTAGAATTCAGGAGGCTGAGGAAGCCCCTGGAAATCTGGCTCGTATCAACCAAGCAAAGCATCTGGAAAACATCTGTAGGAAAGGGCCACGCCCATAAATCATTACGCGCCATAGCGGTTGAGCAAGAATGCGGATTCGCAGCAAAGAGCAAAGGCTCAACCCAAGCCACCCCGGGCCAAGAGAGCACCTAGCGGCACATGTGAAAGGTTTGGTTCGCACTGCGCCTCTGATCCTGAGGCGTAACAGGATCAGGGTATCAAAGACACCGTGGCCACCCACGCAGCGGACGCGATTTACACCACTCCCGCACAAGGGTCCCAAGGGCAAAGCTCACAAGAAAACCACATAAGCTCGCCGCAAAACATCCAGAATTACCAAGACGATCCCAGTTGAAGCTGCCCCTCAAAATCTGGCTGGGAAGGACATGACTGGTCCAGCCAGCTCAAAAATTGGGACGATAGAGACTGTGACGGAACCGCAGGGCGTAAGCATTAACATCCCCAAGCATCTGCGCCACGCTTGCAAACAAATACATATTCAGCAGAAGAAGCTGGAATCCACCCATACGCACACCCCCCGAAGCAACGCATAGGCACAGGACCAATCTGCCATTATCATCGTCTATAAGACCACAAACACCACAAGGAAATGAACAGTGAAAAGCGCAGTACAGCCTGCATCACAAGCTGACGGCGCCGGAAGCCCGCGAAGACTGGAAAAAAGGCATAGGAAAGAGAGACCTACGACGGTCCCCCAGGCCGCGCCAACCCCAGCCGGGCAATTGAAGCAGAAAAGCTGATCATCCAAATACGTAACAATGGGGCCAGGTCGATGTCTATGCCACGCTGGGGGCATCAGTGTCGCCTGCGGGCGAGAGCGTCGTATGCGATTCGGCCGCACCGGTCGCCGACGCAATAGCTGCCGCTTGCGCGAGAGAGATCTTTCTGAACTCTGGCATGAGTGATGCACTGCCCTGCGCAGGGCATCAAACTGTCCGCCACACAACTTACATCTCCACGTTGCACCCTCCTCAGCTTGCGCCCGCAATGCATCCCTGTGGCTCCAATGCAAGGAGTGCAGCTCTTCGTGTCGCGCTAAAACTCGCCTCCAGTTTTTGTCGGCGGTCAACGCTGAAAGACCCGCATTCGCACCGCCCGAAACAGTGCTGTGTAGGAAGTGCCCGACAGGGCAGTTGCAAGCAAGCTACCGTGCACGCGGCTGCCATGCCGAGGCAAAACATAGGCACGCTCATAGTGAAGGCAGCTGTCATGGACGTAAGCGCGGCCGAGAGCCTGGAAGCTGCGACGCTTGGTAGTCTTTGGTCTTCATGAAGACACCAGCGCGTGCCAGACAATTGGGCGTTGGCTTCACGCGCTCGTGATCCTCATGATTTCCTGTTGCGCCAAAGAAACATTGAACACGCCGACCGTGCATCTGCAGGACTGGCTTGTCACAGACACTTGTTGCGCAATGAGTTTCGCGTAGAATAACTGATTGCCTCTGGCAAAGCATGCGTTGGGTCTTGTGTTCCATGATTTCAGGGACACCGCTGGCCATGTTCATGATTTGGGCTGTTGTCTGCGGAGCTCCTCCAGTTGGCGGCCCTGATTAATCAGAGTTCCTGATAGCGGCGGACGTCCTCGGGGTAGGTTTCCTTCGGATTCTGTGCGCCCAGGAGTCATACACTTCAAAAAGCAAAACATCCTATCAATCAAGCTTCCGAACCTTCCTATGGAATCATTCCCTGTGCCGCGGGGAACTTCTTCTTGGGCGCAGCGGGCTGTTGTGACTTGGAAGGTGGTTTCACGCTCGCATCACGCTTGGTGATTGCATTGGCGCGGCCCTTAGCCAGACGCTTCCTGACGTCATGAGTGATTGGCTTGCAAGTTATGTCAAAGGCTATCCCGAGCAAAGGCTATCCTGAGGTATTGGTACTTTAAAGCACCACATATCAACGCGCAATCGCTAGCCGGCCATTCACGTGGCTGCTTGATTACACATGGGTTGGCAGTGTTGCAAGCAGAAGCGTTGTAGCATGTCGCATGTTGGCAGCAATGGGCAGCAAGCCCATTGCGATAAGTTGATGACAAGAAGCTCAAAGAAGAGCGCTGGATGTGACTCGCGAGGCTGCGCCCATGCAATGCGCGCGCGGTGTGTAGAGTGCAACAGTGCAATATTCGACGAGCGCACACGCAATGCTACAATTGCACATGTGCAAGATTCTGTGTTTTGCTTCGGAATCGTTGACACCACCGCAAAAAAGTGTGAACTATATTTTATTTCACATGGCGGGAGATACCTAACTACTTAGCTAGACTTAGCTAACTTGTAGCTAGGTGTTTAACATGGATAGCTCTTCATGCGCCTAGCCACGGGGGTTAAAACGGGTAAGACTTGGTAAAGTAAGTGATTTGCTGGAGCCTTCGGCCGCTGCTAAGTACTAGCAAAGTTAGAAAGCGTACAACGTGTGTGTGTTGATCCCCAGGCAAGTTAACGACCTTCCGGCGTCGCAGACACATGTTTTTAAACCGTCTATAAGCCGTTAACATGCGCTGAGGGCATCTGTCAAAGATATCTTAGCAGCCTCGCGCTCCGTGAGATTCTGTAGCTATTTTTTGGCTTGCTTCTTGGTCGTGGTGTCAACGAAGGATTGGTTCTTCAAGTTGGCAATGATGTCTTTGCGCGTTGACAGCGTCTTGATGGTTCATTTCTGTCGTGAAAGACTTGACCGACTTGGTGGTGTTGCCGGGGCATATCCCTGATCAGAACCATCTTCTTCGGTCGGGAGTCTTCTGTCCTCGTCTCCGTTGGCTTGCGACAGATGTGGTTGAAAACTCTTTGGCAAATTCATAAACTCTTGCTGCCTCGGGCTTGTCCTTATGGTACGCATCCTGGTGAGGTCTCGAATTCCCCGCACACAGCCCTGGCGTTGCGACCTCACTTTTGCGCGCCGAGCTGATGGTTGCGACAAACCATCGCCCCAAAGTTCTGGGGTCCTGGTAAACTCATTTGGCTTTTAAGCGGCAGCCAGCCTCGAAAAGCTGGCATGCCTAGAGAGAGAGAGAGAGAGAGAGAGAGAGAGAGAGAGAGAGAGAGAGAGAGAGAGAGAGAGAGAGCGCCCCTGCCAATCCAAAAAGCTGGAGAACCATTCGAATGGATCTCCCACCATGGTCACTTTAGGAGAATCGACAATGGAAAGTCTGCCTGTCACAGTCCTGAAAATTGCCTCCGCAGGATTCGCAGGCGTGGGCCTCCCCAGCAGAAAAATTGAGCTCCTCGCGAGAGTATGTAGAGCGATCGTGCCCACCGACTGTCATACGCTTCGGAGAGCCACCGCCAAGCTCTCCAAAACAAGTGTACCCTTGCCTTTTTGAAGGTGTTTGCTGCAGCTTGCTGATGTAGTTCAGCAAAACGAGGAGCAAAGAGGATGAAGAAGAAACCTTAAACAGCGTTGCCGGCAGCTTTGCCGGAGTAGATGGTTTCTCAGGGGCAAGGCAGGCACTGGCATTGCTGCCGCAGATGCTGGAATGTGAACACGAGAGCCCCCGAACCAGGCCGAGCAGGCGCAGAAGACCCACGTAAATATTGCTCAGCCTCGCACGCGACCCGAGCGTAAACGATATCTTCTCAATGAGAACAAGGTTATTTGGGTACGTAACAGCGCTTGCCGCAGCTCAGTTGTTCTTTCAGCCTTCCTGCTGGTTCTTCCCTCCTGCGTACGAACATGAAACCGCCTGTTGGCGGCCTGAGGAAGTGGGTTTAGAACGATCCTACCTGCGCACCCACAAAATCAAAACAAACCATGTTCCTAGCTCTCTTCGCAAGCTGAAAGCTTGCAAAGCACAAAAAGTCAGCTACATTGAGAAGGCCCAATGTGTGTGAACTAAAATGTCAAGTGTTTGAGCACTTGGAGGCCTTTGGATGGCGGTGAATGGACAACCAAAACGCGCGAGGCGTATGGCGCTAGGTCTCTTGAAGCAGCCAATCTAAGACATAGCGTGCCCATCCAATAGCTGGTAAGCTTGGCAGAACATTCAATGCACCAGTATGGGACAACCTCCTTTGCGTTCTGTCTCAACTCCGACTTTGGGACCTGCTTGAGAAAAGCCGAGGATGATTTTGGTTTTGGGCGCAACCCATTCGAGCGGTGCTTCGGTTGAGGGCACTCCTTCTATTCACCCACTGGGTTTTCAAACAAGACAACATAGGGAACCCTTCAAGAAACCTCGGGGAACATTGACCGCAAACCCTGAGCTCGCGACCTGCGCAGGAGGCTGCTCTTTGGGCCTCGCTACGGGGGAAGAAACCTAAGCCCAGTTGATTGTGGGAGACCTATGATGCACCCATCGCCGGGGCAGTTCAATGGCGCTATAATGTTACAAAATGTATGATAGTATCCAAGCATAACAGCACAAGCGTACTACAACATTCAAATCAAAGGGGTGCCAGTATCTTTTACAATGCCCCAGGCTTGAGAAAGATGTCCGTGCGCAGCTACGTCAGGCCCGTTGACCCCTACGCACACCAAGTTGGCGTGTGCCTCATACGCACACAGACCGACAGTGTTTTGTTGTCTTTCATGTCTCGTTCTTTCTTTCTGTCTGTCTTTCTTCTTTTCTGTTTGTTTGTTCGTTTGGTTTTTTGTTTGGCTGTCTGTTTGTTGTTTGTTTCTTTGTTCGGTTGATTTGGTAATTGATTGGTTCACTGACTAACTGATACCGTATGTCTGATTGGGTTTGCTTGTTTGCTTGGGTGTGTGTTTGTTTGCTTGGTTGTGTTTCGTGTTTTAATCTGTTTTGTTTGCTTGCTTTCTTGCTTGTTTATGATGTTTTTGACACTTTTTTGCGTCGTTCTTTCTTTCTTTCTTTCCTTCTTGCTTGTTTTTTCTTTCTTGCTTGCCTTTCCTACCTCATCTCGGCCGTGCTTTGTCTTGAATTGACCCATGTGCGCAATGACTTGCCTATTGCTACGATTGTTCTACTCACGTATTGCTCACGCGCGCGTACTTTCTTTCTTGATTACATTTCCTTCTTGTGTGCTGTCTTTCTTGTTTCTGTGTGAGTTTTGTAGCGGTCTTTTTTGCTTTATCTCTCTCTCTTTCTTTCTTTCTTTCTTTCTTTCTTTCTTTCTTTCTTTCTTTCTTCGCTGCTTTCCTTCTTTATTTATTTTCTCTTCCTTGTTTCTTTCCTTCTTTCTTTCTTGATTTTCTTTCTCTCTCTCCCTCTCTCCCTCTCTCCCTCTCTCCCTCCCTCTCCCTCTCCCTCTCCCTCTCCCTCTCCCTCTCCCTCTCCCTCTCCCTCTCCCTCTCCCTCTCTCCTCCCTCTCTCTCATCTGTCCTCTCCCTCTCCTCCCTCTCCCTCCCTCCCTCTCCTCTCCTCTCCCTCCCTCCCTCCCTCCCTCTCTCTCTCTCTCTCTCTCTCTCTCTCTCTCTCTCTCTCTCTCTCTCTCTCTCTCTCTCTCTTGTTTCTCGGTTGCGCATGTGAACTCAACCACATGCGCCGCGCCACGACCATCGACAAGGAATTCGTGACATGGTGCGACTTGCTTATTGCCCAGCCTACATGATGCAATTTCCTGCGGGCAAGGACGCACGCGCTTTGGGCTTCCCTAGGGGTGAGTGCCATACCGGTTCGAATATGAAAGCCTTTCCATGCCCCCTCCTAGCTGCGATCGAAACAACGGAACATGTTTCACACATGCCACCCTAACTTGCGGCGCATGTTGGGCGCCCTGAGATCTATAGAGCAGTCCAAGGCAATTCGAGAAAAAATGCCAAAAACACTTTTCGAGGGCCCAGTACGCTGCATCAGCAAACTGCAACCAAGTGTTCTTTTGCAACGAACCCACACATCGGCCCAACGGGTTCACGCACAACGCGCACGCTCATGAGCTGGCTTCAGGACAAAAATGCACACTCGAAGAGCGTTGGATTGCGCACTGTCAGGTAGCTGAATTGGTTCTGGCTCAACCAAAACAATGAAACACAAGCGCCGTTAAGTGCCTTGCGCAGCAGTGCTGAGAGGCGGAAATTGCACTGGCTGATGTTTTCTTGCAAGCCGTGGTTTCCCGTTTTGGCATCGTGTTTGGGTCGTTTTCTCGTTTTGGGGACTCTGGTGTCTGGGAGTCTCGGGGGTCATTTTCGTTTAGGGTTGGTTTAGGGTTGGTTGGTTGAGGACTGGCTCAGGGTTGGTTGGTTTATGGTTGGTTTTGCGTTATGTTTGGCGCGCGGGCGGGGCTCTAGTGCCCTGATGGTCTCGTAGTCAGGGCGTTCTAGCTTAGGGTTGGTTTGGGAGTTTAAGTTTTGTCTTGAGTCTTGAAGGCTGGTTTGGTTGAGGATTGGCTTGGGATTGGCCGACGGTTGGTTTATGGTTTGGGGTGGGTTTGAGATTGGTTAGGATTAGTTTAGGATTGGTTTAGGGTTGGTTTAGGGTTCGAATTCAAGTTAGGTTTTAGGGCGGGGCGCTATTGCCCCTCTCGCGCTAGCTTTGGCTGGTTGGTTGAGGGCGAGCTGAGGCTTGGAATTTTGGTTTAGGGTTTTTTGTTGGTTTGGTCCGGATGTGCTAGGCTGGTTTGAGGTTGGAGGTGGGGCTGGGTGAGGGTTGGTGGAGGATTGGTTTAGGGCTGTTTTAGGGTTGGTTTGGTTAAGTTTTGGTTTCTAGGGAGGGACAGCTTTGGTCCAAACAAGGTTGGTTGGGTGGGCCATTAGAGGAGTAGTGGAGATTAGAGGGTTGAGCGCTTGAGAAAGACTGGAAAAGCACTGGCAAAGCAATGGCTTACAGTTGGGTTGGCTTTGGGAAGAGCACCAGAACACTGCAAAGAGAGGAGAACAGAAAACTATGACACAACCATCTGTCAGAAAATCATTGAACGAGCACTTGAGGAGCACTAGTGGAGCGGTGTGTGCGATCACTGGAAGGGGTGTGTTGGGGTGGCCGCAAGCTCGCTTCGCTGCCATTTGAGGAGCACTATAGCGTCTGTTTGGGAGCATCACCAAGGTTGAGGATGGGAGGGCTAGCTTTCGTTGGTTGGGGTTGGTTGGTTGAGGGCTGGCCGAGGGTTGGCTGTGGGTTGGTTTAAGGCTGGCTTAGGGTTGCTTTACGGCCGGTTCAAGGTTAAATCTAGGGCGGGCTTTAGGGTTGCTTGACGTTTTTTTGTAGGATTGGTTGTCCTCCAGTGCTTCGGCGGCTGGCTGAGAGTTGGATGAGGGTGCCGCTTGGATTTGCTGAGGCCAACCGCACTGAAAGAGCACGAGAAGTTTAGTCACGGTATGTCTTACTACTCCTATCTGACTACCCCCCTCCTGGAGTTAGGGATAGCCCCTGATTAAGGCCTTATTAGGGTCTGAATAAGCCCTTGTTAAGTCAACAAATACGGCAATGGTCATTTTTGGGGCTGAGGTGTGAATGTCATGGGACCAAACAAGGCATAGTTTTAGCAAACGCACAAACTCAGTCACGACATGGCTACAGCTGACGCGCAATATACCACTTCAATCGAAACAAGTTCTCACAAACAAAAACCACATGAGGAAATTGTCTAGCGGAACCATTTACAAGATCGTGTTGCAGCCAGGTTGTTGTCCTTCTGTTGGCCTTGTTTGAGAAATCTTCAATCACCGTCGGGGGTTTCCGTTGTTTTTGTCTTATTCTACCCTTACTTCGTCCTTATTTTGGCCTTGTTCCAGAAATCTTCGCGCGCCATTGGGGTTTCGGCCTTGTTTTGACCTTATTTTGGCGGCCTTACGTTGGCTTGATTGCGAATCTTGACATCAAGTGGCCCTTGAGGTTTGCTTCCCGTTTGACTTTAGGTAGGGTTTGGCCCTTACTTGACACAGCTCGTACTTGCAATCCCAAGTACGTGCGTTCTGCCACCACGTAAGGCCCCAGAGATTGGCGTTGGGCCGCTTGAACAATAAGGTCCGAGTTGGGCTTATTTTAGCTCCAGTAAAATTAACTTGGGAATGGTAGTTGGTTAAGGGGTATACTAACGGGCTCGCAAGGTAGAATATGTTTTTAAGGTAAATGAAAATGCACATTTCAAAAGTCTTAAAAAACATACAGTAAGAATAAATCAAAAACCAACAGCTAAAAAATGCAACCAAACCAGTTAGAATATGTCGACACAGTAAACATAATTCAAAACAAGGGTGTCTGTTATGAACAACTACTCTTCAATAAGTATCCTAGCTGCTAGCCCGTTGGTGTATAAATATATGCGGCTTTCAGGAAACCATGTGGTTCCCATGATTTTCCATTTGGGTCCGTCTTTCTTTCGAGGGTGTATACCCTTTCTGGGACGGAAACCAACCATTTCGATTGTCCCCCAAAGAAAGACACACGCATTTGCCGGAATGCGCGGCTTCTCCCTTTCCCGGGGCCAAAAGCTCAGCCCGACGTGCCACGCCCCTCTCCCACGAACAGATAGAATATTTCATATACAGCAAGTTCTTCAGAGACTCAAAAGGTACCGAACCAAACATATACATAAACACCATTTGGGGGGGGCGCGCAGATCGAACATTTGCTTTTTGCAAACCTTCATCAGGTGATTCATCGTGTGCATAAATTACTCGATACACAGATAGTAAATATTGGATTGCTTATTTTTGAAGGTGCCCCAATGTTTTCTTCCAATAAGAGGTGGCCTTAACCCAACCCCAAACGGCACCGAGGCAAAAATATGCATGAACACCACGGGGGCGCAGAGTTTGAATACTTTTTTGTGGCAAAACTTCATCAGGTGATGAATCGTAAGCAGAATTAAAAATATAGAGATAGTTTTTTGATTTGTTTATTCTTTGAGGGTCCAAAAGCGTGGCCTTCCTCCAAAAGCGTGGCCTTCCTTTCCCTTTAACCCAAGCCCAAACTATACATGAACACCATGGGGAGGGCACAGTTCAAATATGTGCTATTGGGCCGGGAAACCTTCACTACGCAATTAATCGTACGCACACACGTATATATATACATATGTAGTAGAGGGGAAACCTTCATTAGGCGATTAATTGTATGCATGCATATGTATATATATAGAGATAGCACGTATTGGATGGCTTAATTTATGGGGCTACCCCATTATATTCCAGAAAGGGGTGGCCTTCCCCACCCCAAACGGTATCAGGCCTAAAATATGCATGAACACCATGGGGTTTCACAGTTAGAATAGTTGTGTTTGGGCCAGGAAGCCTTCATCATGCACTCAATCATACGCATATATTTATATATTTATAGAGAGAGAGAGAGAAAGTAAATATGTGTTTGCTTAGTTCTTGAAGGTACCCCACTATG